AAGAACCTAAGAGAGCTAGGTGGCAGGAAGGACCAGCCAACACACGTGTCAGGACGTCACTACTTTAAGACATTCGCTGCTGTTTTAAAATATATTTGTACTGATAGTTCCTTTGTGTTGCTTGCTGGAGTTCGAAGTCTAGGGTGGGAACAGCTTGGCTAAGTCCTTATTCTGGCTGCAGAGAGGGATCTCCTCTCTTTGGCTTCTCTCTTAAGGCCTCCCATCAAGACATACCTAATAAGGGATTTGCCCCCTCCCTGGCAAGAAGGGAATTTGGACTAGAAAGACCACGCCATCAAAACAACAGCAACAACAAAGCAAACAAAAACAAAAATACCCAAGCATCTTCCCAACTACCCATTAAAATTTATTTCTAAACAGTTCTGCATGATGACAGGTAGCTGTATGCTTCTTGAATTATAAGGTAAATTTGTTAAAGGCATCTCAAATCTTCTGGAAATATTGTTTCTGTTTTAAGAAGGGCTGTGGTAGTTTATTAGAGAAAAATGACTGATCCTTTTTTCAGAATAAATTAGTTTTAGTATCCCTAAGCTTTGTAGTATATAGACTAAAGAAATGGATTAGCTTATGTATTTTTCTAAGAAACAGAATTACAAAAGGTGGTTGCCAGATATGCATATTTTCAACATTTTATTTGGTAAATATTTAAAAAGTTGTATTTAAAATATTTACAAGATATTGCTGTCATTTATACAAATAGATAAAACCAAAATATATAATGAACACAATTCAATGAAAAAAACTTTGAAAAAAACAATTAAGACCTCTAGTAATTCAATTATAAAATATTTGCTCTCTTACCAGTTTCCCATAGCTTATAACTTTTATACTATATTTTGTGAATTGCAGTATCTTTATAAAACAAACAAAATGATGCATAATAACATTTTTTGTAGACATTTATGTGCTACATGATAATTGAGGAAAGAAATGTGCATTTGCATGAAAAATTGCTTGAGGAATGTTTACCTATACATATTTTTTGACTTACAAGGGCTCAGCACCAGTAAGAGTGTTAATGTCTCCATCTTAACCACAGATAATAATATGGAATATACATCAATACAGACAGATGACTTCTAGAGACAGAAATGTTTTCACTGTCACAACAGGATATTTATAAGCATCAAATCTTCTAGAAGCTTCTCTAACCTAGAAATGCATAAATGTACATTGCAAGAGGTAAAAGTTTCCTATTGCAGAATTCTAGTCACTTCAGTAGTCACAGTTAAACTTGTTCCGGGTTTTCAAATCCTCTTTTCCAGGACTTCATACATTTTGGTATTTTAAAAAATTCTTTCTTTCAAGTTTCTGTAATGAGAAAAAGATAGTTTTATTTACCTGGAATGTTCTCGTTTCTCTCATGACAGGTAAAAACACATAACAGGAAAGGGATGCTATTATAACCAAGAATCCAGTAACATAATATTTCACACAGAATCATAGCAGAATCTTTCTGCAGTTGTCTAATTTATTTTCTTTTTTCAAAAGATCTGTCTTGGATAAAACAGATTACAACATGAAAGTAATCTGGTAACCTACCTTGATTATGAGTTTCGCTTGCTTTGATCTGGGATTTAGGCATCGTTGTCCTTTATGTTCTTTTAGAGTGACACTGTTAAGGGGACATACAGGAGTTACAGTTTGAATGGAAATACATGAACAGAAAAGCCCCGCCATTGTCACGTTCAGCAAACTTGTTACTTACATCACTTCTGTTTTGTCACAGTTGTTACTTGGGTAAATTATGGAGGCTTTCTCAATATCTGCCACCTTCACTGCTTTTGCTCCAGGGCCTATGCAAAGACAACGTCCCCCTCGAAACATGGGAAACCTAGAATAGATCATAGCCTTAGTAATGCATCTGATTGCAACTGGTGGCTTCGGTTTATAATCCTGGTGATGGATGTAAGCAGAGCTTTCATTAAGGGTAAAGATAGTAATTTGTCAGATAGCACTTGACACAGCAGTTACTGGGAAAGGAGTTAAGTAAGATGTTGATGATTTTCTCTTTAAATTTGTCAGCAAACCATTAAAAAATAAAGGGAAGCATGAAGAAAGGTTACTGGAGGTGAAGCTTGTTTTGGCCCTTGGTTTTATCCTTAAGAATTTTCCCAGGAAGCTGCTAACATTCTCTTACATAAAATTTCCTTAACAGACATTTACAACTATCGCTAAAGGCTTTTGGCAGTTCTTGTAGCCAAATAAAAAATTTCATGAAGTTTATTATCTCTAGTTTCAATAATCATCTCTAGTGCCTTAAACATTTCCAGCGTTCCCCTGCCAAAGCTGCAGTAACTTCAAATCTGTGAGATCAAATAAAAATTCATCATGTCTTTCAGAATAAAAGTGGAGGAAAAGACATTTGAAACATTAGAAAAGGAATTTATAGGCTGAGAAATAAAAAGCACCATCTACCTTGAGCAATTGTAGCACAGAATATCACAGCCACAACTATCACCATGTCCTTCACGCTCATGTTTGTTTATCGTCCTTGCTGCTGGTGCTGCTGCTGCCTTGGCACTCTTCTTGGAGGGAATAGAAATGATGGGCATGAAAGGAAACTCTTAATTGGTATTTATAGAGCATTGACTATAACAATAATCCTTTTATGGCAACAGGAATTTTCTCTTCCTTGGGTTATCCTCCTTTCTTGCTTCCAAGAGTTTCTGTTTTGTTTTCTTCTAAGTGTTACTGTCCTTTCCTATATGTAGTCGTTTTGAAAGTGGTAAGAATGTGAAAGCACTCTGTAAAGGGCAGCATTCATTGAGAACAGAGTCTATCCAGATGGGAACCAGCCTTCTTAAGGTTCTTTTCCTAGAAATCCATTGAACTGTTGGGCTACTCTGGGTAGTGGAATTCTGATGGCCATTCATTCAGGAAGGTTGTCTTCCTGTTTTCATTCCTTTCACTGTCCATCTTTCACATAACTGTACAAAAGAATATTCTAGAAAAAAATTTTAATATCTGGCTTGCTTTTACGTCCAAACTCTTATCATAGATAAGACCTATTTTATTTGACATCTTATTATCTTTATATTTTTGCCTATAATTGCACTTCTAAGGAAGTCTCCCTGTATTTCTGTACATATATTCATTTTTTGCGTTTTTAACTATTTTTACTTTCTAAACATTTTAGCACTGTTATTTAGCACATAACCTTGTATGAATTGTATTATGGATTTGTAAAAAAAAATACATCCTCTTTCTTCATGTGATGTTTTTATCTTAGATTCTGCTTTGGTGTAATCCCTGTTTTTTATCTTTACTATTTTCCTCTTAAGCTTCCTTAATCTTTGTTTTAAGTGTGTCACTTCTAGACACTTAAGTGTGTCACTTGGAGACACTTAACTTCCTAATGGATGAGTATGGTAATTACTTATCATAAGTATGGAGTAACTGGTAATCTGTATTTTAAACTTCTTTTGTTCTTTAAGAGACAGATTCATGCTGTGTGGTCCAGGCTGGAGTCCAGTAGTGTAATTATAGCTCACGCAGCCTCGAACTCCTGGGCTCCAGTGATCCTTCCCTCTCAGTGGCTGGGACTACAGGCATGTGCTACCATGTCTTGCTAATTGTTATACTTTTTGTAGAGTTGGAGTCTTGCTATATTGCCCAGGCTGGTCTTAAACTCCTGGCCTAGTGTTCCCCCCACCTTGGCCTCCCAAAGTGCTGGGTTACAGGGGTGAGCCACCAAGCCCAGGCAATAATTTGTATTTTTGTGATGCTTTCTTTTTATGTTTTCTTTTAATTCTTTCTAACTTGAAATATATTTTCTTTAACTTTTTCTCTTATGTAATTTGAAAGGAATGCACTGTTTTACATTTTGTTATTAAACATTAAAAATCTCTAAGACTGTTTTTACCTAAATTTTTCTTATTACTTACATCAACCATCAGTAATATATTCTAGCTCCTCTCTTTGTAAGATGAGAAAAATATTGTAACTTTCTTTCAAAAATCTTCTATTTCTCAGTTTTGTTTATATGATCTGGGATTTTATAGCTAGTTTATTATTTTCAGATGATTATTTTACATGATTCAGTATCTCTTTTGAGAATTATCAATTGCTTTTTTTCTTGAAATCATATATTTATTTAGCTATAATCCTACATTTAATTCTTTAAGAGCTATTACTAGTCTTTAAAACCTCGGAAAGTCTTTACAGTAGTTCCTGTTGTTCCTGGCCTCAGTTACGCGATTTCAGTTACCTGCAATTAACTGCATCTGAAAATATCAAATGGAAATTTTCAGAAGCAAGGCTGTCATAAGTTTTCAATTGTGCACTGTTCTGAACAGTGTGATGAAATCCTGTGCCATCCCCCTCTGTTCCTCCATCCCATCAGGTGGGCATTTTATCATCTCACGGTATCACAAGAAGGGTGAGTACAGTACCATCACATACTCACTTAACTGTATCAAAGTATAACGATAGTGTTCTATTTTGTTATTTTACTGTATCTAATTTATAAGTTAAGGTACATGTTAAAATATATAGGAAAAACCATAATATACAGGGTTTGATATTATCTGCAGGTTCAGATGCCACTGTGGGTCTGGGAATGTATCCCCTGAGGATAGAAAGGGACAATTGTATTTTAATAAAATTCTAAATAGCTAGTTTATTAATTTTTTTTCTCATTTGGTCATTCATTTAGCATATGTCAACCAAGATGAATTTTCGTATAGGAATACGGGTGAAGCAAAAGTAGTATGTTCTTGGAGCTCATAAGTCCTCATCCGTTATTTTTTCTTTACTGTTGCTTTTCATTTTCTCAGCATTAGAAACGTCGTAGAACATGGTTGTTAACAGGGGAGACTCTGGAGTCAGCCTGTGTTCAAGTCCAGGCTGTGTGATCCTGAGCAAGTTACCTCAACTTTTTGAGTCTTAGTATTCTTATCTATAGATTGGGGATAATAATAGGTCCTTTTCCATAGGACTGTTGTAGGCTAGGTATTAAAAGAGGTATGCATGTAAATAATTTAGAAAAATATAGGTATAGGGCACTCAAAAAGCATTAACTGCTGTCATTATTTTTAATATTTTTCAGTGTTCTTTTCTAAATTGACATAACACATCTAACGTGTTTTCAATTGTTTTTCAGCATTAGCACAATCACAGCTACCGAGTAAAAGACTGAATGATGTTGTCATATAAAATATTTTAAATTGTAACAACTGTAAATGTTAAAATGACACACATCATAAAAATCACTTACAGAAAGTACGTGAACACAGCAGCGTGGTTCAAAACATACAGACAAACAATAATGAAGATTTTTCTTTACCAGCTAACGTATTGTCATGTAGCTTTGGTGTAAAGCAGTTTCTTAAATACAGATTCTTGATTATGTTTCTAAAGAAGACCTTGGAAATTGATATTATCTAAACATCATGCTATTTTAAGTGGTCATTAATTTAAAGTTACATAAAATATGTGTGAATTAATGCTTAGCCATGTAGAAAACTTGAGGGTCACACTTTCCTCCTTCAGGCTTCTGTGGATATTGTTTTATTGTCTTACTTTACTACAAAAGTATTGCTGGGATAGTGAAAACATTGGAAAATATGTGCAGTTAGGAAGAATCATACCACCAGAGAGAATCACTATTTTCCACCTCTTTGGACATACATACTCTCTCTCTCTCTCTCTGTCTCTCCCCCTACCCCCATCTTTCTCTCTCTCTTTCATCTAAGAAGTTCCATAACAGACTATGTCAGTCTTCTGTTTTTTCCTGTGTGTTGGGATACTGTATTTATAGATACTTCAGAAGGAGGCAGGGGAGAAGACAGGGAGAGAAAAAAAAATTCCTCTCTCCCTCCGTGAGGGAGACTAGGCAGTAAGTATAGACATAGGGAGGAGCAGCTGCTGCTGCGAGTGGCCCTAGAGGAGGGTCTCCCATGTGAATGCAACCTGTTCTATTCTTCCTCAGGGCTAAATCACAGTTTGGATGCTGAGGGAGGTGATTCAGTTCTCGTCACTTCAAGTCTCCAGGTGATCGCTCCAAAATGAAGCCTTGGCGGTCGGTTGCTCACGCCTGTTATCCCAGCACTTCTGGGCGACAGAGAGACTCCAACTCAAAAAAAAAAAAAAAAAGAAAAAAAAAAAAAACGAAAGGCAAGAGGATTGCCTGAGGCCAGGAGTTCAAGACCAAAATTATGCAGAGTAAGGAGAGGGATTGGTTTTGGGCTGTAACCTCTTCACTCATTTCTCTGAACCAAACAAAAAGCAAGCCGAATTAGGCTTTGGCAGATGCTAATATGGATACTTTCTCCTTTCTTACCACTCGCTCCCTCTTTGTTGCCTCTTCCTCCCAGTGCTCTTGGCTTAGAGTTTCCTGGAAAGCACTACCCCTTTCTACAGTAGTTCATTTGTTCATTCACTCATTAATTCACCCAATGTTTGTTTTAGGTGTCTATCACATGCTTGGCCCACTTACAGGTACTGGAGACAGAGCAGTGAATAAAACTCATCAAGTTTTTTCTGCATCTGTAAAAGACAGTCTGCCTGATTTCTGCTGGCTCTAGATGTGTGGTGTCAGATGTATCATCTCCAGGATCATGACTTGTTCTGGCCGAAATATTCTCTGATATCACACGAGTAAGATTATTTTCTTCTAGAACATCACCTCATCTAGTGAGCCTGACAGCTCCTTATTCTTTCTATTTATATAATAGGTTCTTCCAGCACGGAATGTCCTTTCCTGTCCCTTTCAGAATCCTTTCCTTAAATCTTGATATCACCATGAAGCCGTCTTTATTACATGATTATTTTTTTCTCCTAACTATATAGCGCTTACTGTCTTGTCTAGCTTTATCCAGTTGAAATATATTGCAAGTCACATACATACTTTTGAATATTCTAGTAGTCATATTTAGAAAGTAAGAGTAAGCTGATGAAATTAATTTAAATAATGTATTTAATTTAAAACATGAAAATATTTCAGTGTATAATCAATATAAAAACATTAAATTAGATGTTTTCCTTTTTTTTTTTTAGTATTAAATCTTCAAATTGAACTAGCCGCATTTCAGATACTCAGTAGTCACATGTGGTTAGTGGCTACTATATTGGACAGTGAGGGTCCAGTTATTCATTTGGCATGTGTTATATACTGCCTTGATACTTGACTTAAATTTAAACTAAATCTGCAGATGGAGAGTAGGAGAGATACTGAGATTTTTTTAAAAAGCTTTTGTAAATTTCCCAAATTATTTTCTTCTTTCTCTCTCTTTACTAAGTTGTTACATTGCGTTGCTGTTTCTCTTCGATTAAATGCAAAAAAAAAAAAAAAAAATCAAACTGCATCCTTTGTTTTTTTAGTAGTGTTGGACTTTTTGTGCTGTTTCTAGAATTTGACTTTCTCTTTCATATTCCCAAGTTCACTCATTCAAGTTTTCTCTTTAATTTAAAGGAGTGTCCCAGGAGATGAATCTGGTTTCCATAATTGATCACCAAAGTCCATTCCAGCTTAAAAAT